ACATCCCCCTGTCGGTGAACACACCTACGCGACAGATCATTGGCTCTCCCACCCAAAGAATACACCGACCGCAACAAGAGCAATAAGGAAAATAACAGGATATTCCAAACTACTGGTGAACCAAAAGAGTGTTGAATAAAATAGTCTCGACCTCGAAAGAACATATACAATAGGTACCACTATATACATTTTAAATCAGTTATTTAGAATGCCCCAAGACGTATTAGACATCGAATGGCAAGTTCAATTATGATTTCAAAGTTTTGTTATCCCGCCTGTTAATAATTTATTTCATCTAAGATTGAACTGACTACACCTGACAAAAGAAGTACAATATTGACGGACTTTTCGTCTATATGGATATGTATGGTTTATAGTTTTCATGACAAATCATAGTTGCAACATCCAATTGGAAATGTAAAGGAAGGGGGATGGTCGAGAGAACAAGATTGCTGTTGGTGTGATAGGGCGAACTAAACGATGCAAGATGAAATTTATTGTGTAACCAAACATTCTTATAAAGTATTATAATGTGCTGATTACTACTTGCTCAAGTAAGTGATATCAAATTATTTACAAAGTCTCTTCATCTGCAGATGACACCTAAAGAAATGTGAAGCATTGTAAACCGTGGAATGAGCATTTTTTTATATTAATAGAACACTTTGACCATATAACTGTGAGTTCTGTGTCATAGAATAACCCATATTGTTGATGTGTTTAAACAAACTAATAATAGATGTATTATATTTTTTGTCTGTGACTTACCAATTCTGTTAGCCTTCCAAGACGCAAGTTGAGATCACAAAACTTCAGCTCCTCTCATCTGGAAAAGTGGTTCGTGGTTAATATATGGGGTGTTATTGTGGATGTCTGTTGATAAATATGTTGAATTTGTTCGGTAAGTAGCGTAGTCGTGTTTTAAAAACTATTTGCTTTGCAAACAATTGTGAATCTTTTTCCTTAGAGATGAATCGTGCTCACGTGCTTCCGGACGGCGTAAGAATATGTGGACAAAAATATTGGACGGAGATGTGCGCGACTTGGAGTCACTAGAGGAGTATGCTGTCAGATGGGAAGAAATATTTGGACGATGGAAAATGCCCAAAGTCATGTAAGAGATGTTGTTGTAGAACTATGGCATAGACTATGTCAAATATAGCCAGATTAAGATCGTCGGCTTCTTACTTTTATCAAAAACAAAGTTCTTGTCCAAAAACAAGTTCATAGGGCGTTTTTTGGTTGCTCAGATTTGGTAACGTTTCGAGTTATGAATTTGGTAAGGGAGATAATTTAGCACCGGGAAGGTGAATCCTCCCCTCTACCTCCCCCAATATATTGCCAAATTTGGCAAAATTCCTACTAAAAAATTGGCTATTACACACGCTGGCGCCTATGCATAGCGTCTGATGGTCATAAAGAATTTTTACAGACTCACCTTTACGTAGTTGGGACTTGTTATCGAAAATAAGTTAAAGTATCTCTACCCCGATATTGCCTTAAAAATGTTAAAGTCGATTCTCTAGTACTAGACATTTGACACATGATAGCGTTCGCTTTATGTAGGATAACTATACAAGAACCGGCATAAAAAGAAAGAAGATGTGTACTTTCAGCCTGGACAATAATAACATCCCAGTCATGTATAGTTAAATCGCCTATTACATATGCAATCCTGCACAAAAGATACATGGTGAATGAACAGGCAAAAATTCTATAAAAAGTTCAGTTAAAGGCATTGGTGTAGATGTTTTATTTGCAATAATCAGAGATGAAACAAATTTATACTACTTATACTTTAATTATTAAGTGAATACGAAGACATTTGCTGTAGGGGAGATAGAACCAATGATTCAAGCATGTATCAAAGACTCTAGTTGCGAATTTAATATAACATTCTGAACATCAAAGAGATAGAAGGAATAGGGGAGGGAATCACAAAGTTATCATTCCGCGATAAATGCATGTCAGAGGAATATTTATAACACATTGTTCCGGTACAATGTTAAGTGGATTTCCTTGATGGTCTATCGTGCAAATTCATACTAAATAGAGAATACATTAATTCATTCAATTCTGGTGTAAAAAAGTACATGAGAATGTTAGCACACCATTTCGGGTTTGATTGCGAGCGCAATAATGCAAAGAAGTAACATTACTTAAATGGTGCCAAGGGGACTGTGCAGAAATTAAACCTTCTTGTTATTACTTACTGTCATCTCTGTTGGAACGTATCATCCCGTTTAGTTTAATGGCTATCATATCGTAAACTCTATTGGGCGCGAACCAATAAGTCTCTATTTTTTTAAGATCCGACTCAGATGCAGCATAAGCGACATTAACGACAAGATTGGGTCAAGGTCGATTCTATGAGTGTATGTTGTCACAAACATTAGAAGTTCAACACAACCGCATCAGCAAATAAAACAGTTCATATCCTCCCATCATATCCACCACTAGGCACTTGAAGTTTTCCTAGAGGTACAAAAGAAGCATTTGGCTCTTTACCTCTTTTACGTGTTTTTGTCAAAAGATAGTGAGTAATAGAACTGTGAAACGCTCACTTGTCGCTCCACCAAATATAACATCAGAAGGAGTGTTCCACACGGCATCAAACACTACACTCAGAGTTGGCTCCCGACCATTCTTCCATGAAACGAAAATGTATTATCGTTGTCTCGGATACCACAATTTAACTTTTTCTCTTTAATTAAACAAACATCACTTCTTTAGTTTTCTCGCTTCGCTTAACTTACTTACTGCTCGAGAGGTTTAACAGAGAATAGTGACCAAATTTTATTTTTATAACTCAAGTGGGATACACCGGCAAAAGCAAAGAAAACGGAAAAGAAATCAATTCTTGACTTCATCGCCCAAAATCTCCATGTCCCGGTGGATTACCTTCAGAAATACCATTATTGATTTAGAGATATTAACTTTTTCATACTAAAGTTGTTTTCTTCCATGCAATACTTATTGTGTGATAGGTTATGGTGGTGCAGCTGTCAATCACACAGAAATTCGTTTGATAGTGCGGAAGAACAAATAAAGAAAAGCACTACGAAATTTGGTTGGAATATAAATTTTGCATTTTTATGGTCGAAAACTTAAAATATTTGGTGTTTGAAAATGCTACTGAAGACACTTAATCGAACCAAAATTTTATAAGTGATCGGTGTTTGTAATATACTAATACTATATGCAGGAAATTTTTCAAAGGCAATTTTCAAAGTGCTTGCCCATTCCTATCCGTAAAAGTCTTTATTCTATATATACGTGGTCTCAGTCCCCTTCTTTCTTCACATTAAGAACAATGATTTTATTAGAGTCTTAGCAATGGAAGTATGTAAAGACAGATATCGTATTAGAATGGCTGGAAGCATTCCTTCTACATGCATAACTAATTATTTTTTGAAATTCGCTTTGTTTGGCATTTTGGGAAAACAGTTCTAAAGCTGACGTCACCTCAAATAGAATGACGTTGTGTAAAGATTTCTTTCACTAAAATGTTGCCAAAGTAAAACAAAAAGAAAGAAAAGCCGATTCTTGCCTCGACATATACTAGATGGGTCGAAAACTATGCGCTATGAGCAGTCAACTATTTATCAGTTTTTCTCTGCCTCATTTTTTGTTTTTTAGTACTTGAAGCAAATGACGTCAAATTTTCAATTTGTCTGCAAGCATGCCCCATAATAATAGTAACCTACGATAAAGTCTAAATTTTGCTTGAATTTTTACACCTTATTTCAAAACAATATACGTTGTAATAAGGCTCAACCAATGTTTGTTCCGAAACTTATCAAAGTTAGGAGCTTAATTCTCACCTCAAACAACAGAAACCAGAAACATGATAGGATCGAATAATAAAATATTAAATACAGTGTGTATATATCCCGATATAAAGTGTAGAATATACATATGAATATAAAATAAAATCTCGAATTTTAACTCATTGGTCTATTCAACACAATAACAAATTAAGTAGCGTCCTCGTTGCGGAAATCTGTACAATAAAGATGAGTTACACTAAGAAATATTCATTCAACAGTGACACAGAAATATGCACAAAGACAGAAAGTATTATATGTCTATATTTATGATTGCTTTAAATAACCACTCACCATAAAGTTCCGCGTACATCATACTCTTCCAGTTATCTACTGGCAAATCAGCTTCAATAGATGACCAATTAAATGGCACTTCTGCGACGGGCTCGTCAGTCTCGTCATGATATGGTTCTACGTATTTGTGTGCTAATGCCTGTGCGGCAGTAATGCGTTTTCGAGGATCAAAAACGAGCATCTTTTCCAGAAGATCCAATGCTAATATCAAAAAAAAAGACATTAAAAAGAGAGAGAGGGAGTTAAAAGCTAAGTAATCTAAAATAGGGAAAAATATAATTAAATTATAGATAGCCATTACCGTCCGCATCCGCGTTCTTAAATTTTTGAGAAAACGGAACTCTTTCTCGTTTTGGTAACGAATCGACAAATTTCCTTGTCTATGGCAAAATAAGTAACTTTAGAATAAATTGGAACTTCTAGCAACAATCAATCTGCCAATATTTACATTCTCGCTGCCAATAGTCTGAATAATGTCATCGGGAGGCGTTCCCAGCAATTCTGTGATAATTGAGAACTGATTGACATCTAAGATAGGGTGAATGAACATTACAATTACATTTTAGTTTTGCAAAAAAAAAAAAGTTAACAACATTGCTGGAAATCTGGACTTACGATCCCTTCCTGGAAAGAGAGGCTTCCCTTCAAGCATCTCAGCGAAAATACAGCCAGCACTCCATATGTCGACTACAGAAAATAATACATTCATGAGTCACATAGTTATTGTTATATGTGCTAGAAAGCTTCATCGGTCGGAACTACTCACCTGCTACATCGTACTTCTGCCAGGTTAACATAATCTCGGGTGCTCTATAGTAACGTGTTGATACATATCCTGTCATTTGAGGATCTTGAACACGAGCCAACCCAAAGTCACAAATCTAACGAGGATGAGAATAAAGAAATAGAGATTCGGGTTAGCTCAATATGATATGTAATTCATATATAACGTACAAATATATAGTTGTATGCTAACTCACCTTTAGATCACAATTTTCATTTACAAGTATGTTACTGGGTTTCTAACATTATCCAGTAGAAATGAGCAACTTTCATGAAATTTACAGTTTGCGCCGAGATCAAGGCAGTTGAAGATTACTCACCAGATCTCTATGGACCACACCAGCAGAATGGACGTATTTCAGCCCTCTCTATTCAAAGAGCCGTTTGGAAAAAAATAAAATTGCCAGTATTAAAATGCACAAGAAAGTGGCATCGCAAACTCACTCATAGATGATAAATAGTATAGGAAGCTTACCAAAATCTGATAGAAAAAGTACTGAATAAACTGCTTTTCCAGTGGTCGAGAAATCAACAGTCTATGCAAATCTGTCCCTAGCAGCTCGGTGACAAAATATCTAAAACCAAAATGTTAGATGAGAATATGTATAAATGTTAAAACAAGATGAGCGGTTTTGTCATATGCAGACAGATGTATCTATACATGATCATTAATGAATTCTTTCACCACACATATTGCATACATGTCTTCCGAAGGAGAGATGAATATATTACTAAGACCGATGACCTATGTAAAAAAAAAGACAGACCAAAAAATTTTCAGTTTAAGACAGTAACATAACAGATAAACTTATGACTGTTCAATCAAAATCATACATTTTCATGTTTCAAATGTCTAAGCAATTTCAATTCACGATAAGTTCTCTTTGCTAATACAGGTGTGCTAAATGGCTTCATGATCTTCTTAATGGCTACGCTATTTCCTGACCACTGATCTTTGGCGGAGCTTAATCAGAAAAGAGAACAACCCGATTTAATATTCAAAGCAGCTGATAATTCACTTCGTCTGTAACCTACCATACTAGACCAAATGCTCCCATACCGATGGGTTGTAAATCAACATATCTGAAATTTAATTCAGTGAAATGCTTAGAACTGTTTGACTATAGTTTTTTTTCCTTTGCATTCCGAATATTAGCAAACCTCTCTCGAACACCCTCCCCCCAATATATTCATTTCCTACCTCGTCGTAACTTCGAATGCAGTCCCAAATATGGACAACTTTACAAATTCATCTGACATGGTAACTTATTGAGTAAATTCTAATATATCCAAGAATCTTAAGAATATTGGGTGGTAAAAGTGTTCGATTAAATAAAACCAGAGTTCATATAAGATGTTACACGGGACACGAGGTGGAATGCTTGATGATGTCATTCTGTATTTTTTAATGTTTATTGATAAATGCGGGGTGTTTTGGAAGATATAACACAGACTTGATAAGTGAACCGTTTTACGCCACAAAGGCATTGTGGGTTTCACAATCGTTTGTTTAAATCTTAAATGTAAGGTCTAAATGCGAAATGACATTATCGCCGCGCATTTATTTCTTGAACATATGAAGAGAATCGCTTGAGTTCAAATTCGAAACATAAAGTTTATATTAGCAAAGCTTAGATTTATATCCAAAGTCAAATTAATGCGCAATTTATATACACATGCGAGAGGCGCGATGATTGTAATATTGTCTGTCTTTGAATTATGGGATGCTTTCTAAGTTGACCCTTTGTAATATATCGAAGAAGAATATTGCGACCACCATTAATGTCTCTATCAAGTTTTACATTGGGGACAGCTAAACACCACCAAGCTTTTTATGAAAGTTTTACTGGTGTATTCTTCTGTACAAATTACGACTCGACACCAGGGATGCTCACGTGCCTTATAGATCAAATGCTGTTGAAAGCGATAATATGTACACATGGCTCGAGCAGTCTTGGAATTAATGCGTCGTTGTCCACGTCGGACCATTCCTTGAGTGCGGAATTCGGGTAGTAATATTATGCGATGTTTTCACAAAGCCATTTAGCTAGTTTATGGTGACAATCATCCACAAGGCAACGGATCCTCTTGTGAATGCGTAACATAACACAACGTATTCTACAATTGAAAGTAGTCTTAGTATATATGTTAAATTATAAATGAATATTTGCCGTACATACCCAATATGTTTTCTGCCAATGCTTCATTTATCCCATCACCTACCGACATACGCGTCATTGGATCAGCTATTTTTTTATCCCTGGAATTTGGAAATAGTATTACTTGTTGGAACTTATGATGTCACTTTAGGAAATCAAGATCAAGGATCTTACTTATAAACATATGATAACTAACCTACTGGCATAACGCCATGCCCAATGTAAAAGGAACCTGCATCAGCTGCATTCCCTAACAACGTGAAGCTGTGTACATGGAATTGAACAAATATTTTAACCAACATCCCATAAACAGTCTTAAGCTTGTTATACGTCTCCTGCAATAAGCAACAATCCCCAGCCAACATACGCGAAACAATCGTTTGGTCCTGTTCTCACTGAGGAGACCTTATTGGGTAAAAATGGCGATTGTTAATATAATAACCGATTGTCGCGATCAATGAAATGATACATGCAAACTTTTACTTCATGCTACCTCCGATGAATTACTAGGATATATCCAGATGGTATCGTCTATAGATTTTTTAGAGTTATTATATCGAAATAATCTAGAATGCGACCAAGAGTGTAAATTATACCTAACACTACTGTCAATGTACCCCACTATTATTTCGTTCGACATCCAAGGACGTATCTTTTGTACGCAAAAAATTAGACAAAGACACTGATATATTTCACTTTACTTTTGCATGCTTACCCGAAAATCGGTGATTCAGCACTGAAACGTTGAATAGAAATCAGAAGCAATAGAAATAGTACCTCCGCGAGACAATGACTTCATACAGTTCTCCCATGCGTCTCTATCAGAATATGATTTAGTACAATTGTACACCACACGTATATGCAAGCCCGTGATAATGTCAATAAATATACCTTTTATGATGGATGGGAGAACGACTAGGAAAAATTTCGCGATTGGCCAAATTGACAGCTGCATTCTGAAAGCGAATTGGTACAGGCCTATAATTAGAGTAACATGATATATAATTAGTATTAGACTTGTAGTCTGAATTAATGGATTGGCTGTTTTTGCCACTTGTTGCCGACTTACCTTTCTCTCATTCTTCAGTTTTGTGCATATAGAATCTGCACTGTACGGATGTGAACTGCTTGTTACGGAACTGGGAAGAATTCTAAAGTATCTTTTCCGTTCCTGGTCGTAATAGTAGCCTGGAATTTGCCGTGGTACCGGAGAATTTGTTGAAGTATCTTCTCTATTCAAACCAGCGTAATTGACGTCAGTTTGTTGCGTCAGTTGATTAGAGGTGATCGATGAATGTGTATGCTGGTCAAGATGAAGATCTATTCTCTCAGGTGTGCTGTCGTGATTAGACGATGTCTTTTTCGATAGTTGACTATCGCGGGCAGAACTTCAAGACTAATTTTTTTTTTCACGTGTGATCTGTGGAGAAATGTATTTGGATTTTACTTGGCACGCACTTGTAGTACGAAAATTGTGGTGTATTCTGGAATGTTCGAAAATTGCACAACGGTGTCTCCAGAAAATCCGTATCTGGACGTTAGCTTTTGCACTTGATGTACCAAGCGTTATACCGCTATCAAAATATATTATATTATATATCTGCAATACCTGCCCACTCCAATCAATCAACATTCCATACACACTTTTTTTTTTCACTTTGCGTTACAATTACAAACACATATCCGCCATTAAGCGGATAAGCACGCTGTGTGTAATGAGTGGTAGCATTGAACACTGGCGACGTATATACAAACTGTTGTCAGGATAGTACACAAGGAGCAATTGCATCAGCCCTGTACCATCTGGATACGTAAAACCATTCATAGCGCTGTCGATATGTGGAAAGAAAATAAGATCGTCGGGGTCATCATACGCTTGTGTTGTATAAGCCCGAATGTTTGTAAAGGAATAAAAAATCAGAACGAACAGAAAGAGATGGAGATCATAGTAGAATTCGTGGAACATCCAAACTTTAAGCAATCGAAAAAGTAGCTTGTCAGGACTTGTCAGGAAGCATTGAGAGTACAGCGAAAACTTGAATCCTCTAAATTAAGATATTGCTGCCGTATATAAATAATGATGTTTACATTCGATCATTGTAAGGCGACACTTATTTTCATATTCGCTCAATTATTGTTTTTCAAAGTTATACTTTACAGGCAAGTACTTTTTCACAAATAGATATGCTATTATTAATATGCCTATTTAGAAAATAATTAGTGTGTACCAAGTTAATCTATTATTATGTTAGCCCCATTATTTATTAGTCACTCACAGCTCTACGAATTAGTCTGAGACATTAGCGTGGGTAAATCATAGTAGTAAATCTGTGACTATTATTCTATTCCTTTGTCTGTCATGGGAAATGTACCCTAAAGAATGTTACCAATAACAATCTTATGAAATGCATTAGTCTTAACCGATCGTCAAATATACACGTGTTAGTACTTTAACGTTATTATTATTCTTATCTATTGGTTTGCATCACATGGTTGTTGATATTAATATTAAGAATGTCCGATAAACAATCGAAACTTCTGATAAGCGTTTATGTCGCACACTTTCTTTTATTGATAACAATGGCAAAATAGCCATATCTGCAAGATAAAGTGGCATGGGAATAATTGCAAGCTTCTTCGTTATCTATGTTCGTCGACAATTTTCATAAGCAAACATAATATATTTTGTAACGTATTTTGACTAAACCGAAATTCTATAGTTACCAGAAATAAAAAGCAACGTCTCTACCACTTTTATAAGTCTACCGTTTAAGTAACATATGGAACAACGTTCACGTCATTCAAAACGGCAACCGCTTACAAGAAATGAACGTTTGCAACGTCAACTTGCGAAAGCTGAAGGCTTCGAGAATTATCAGCTTCAATTACTTGAAAACTTACAATCACCTGCTCTTGCCAAGGGGGGAAGTGATGCCCTTGTGTTTTTTCCTCCTGGTTTTCCGATAACTGACAGACTATGGACGTATCTACTCAGGAAAGAAGAACAGTGGAATCATTCAGATATGAGGTCGTTTGTTAGTTCGTGCCTTGTGGCTTCATCTTCAGGGAATCCATTA